GCGGGCCTCGCCGCCGCGCCGCGTCGCCGCGCCTCGTCGCCGCGCCTCGTCAGTCGCCTTCTCCTCCGCTTGCTCCTCCCTCTGTTCCGCCTCCTCTTCGGTGTCTCAGTTCTCTATATTCCCTCTTCCCTTCTCTTCCTCTTCCTGCTGCTCCTGCTCCTGCTCCTGCTCCTCCTCCTCTTCCTCTTCCTGCTGCTCCTCCTCCTACGCCTCCTCCTCCTCCTCCTCCTCCTGACTCGTGACTCGAGACTTGGGACTGTCTTGCCAAACGACTGAAGTCCTCACCGCCTGCTCCTCCTCCTCCTCCTCCCATCCTCCACTTCCTCCTCCTCATCCTCCTCCTCCGCCTTCACCTCCTCCTCCTCCTCCTCCCCCTCCTCCTCCTTCTCCTTCTCCTTATCCTCCTCCCCTCTACAATTCCACATTGTCAACATCAACAAATTACGACTACTACTACTACTATTTTCTCTCCTGACTCCGTGCGGAAGGTGTTGGACCCTCTCCGTATACTGTTGTTTCACAAGCCGGAGTTCAGGCATAAAGAAAGCATTCGGCGAATGCTTTCAGTGTTTGGGCGTGGTGCCTCCGCTTCAGAGTGGGCCCCAATTTCGGATCGGTGCTTTTCTCCCGTGGCTGTCACATGGGCTCTCTCGCACCAGCAAGGACCACTTTTCTGGACCCCAGTCCGTTTCTAGTATCGCCCCCCCCAAGCGAATCCACTTTTCTGGATCCGAGGTTGTCGCCCCCTCACTTCCCCTCCTCCGCCTTCCCCTGGCCCTCTTGCTTCTCCGCTCCTTCCACTTCAGCTCCCTGCTGCGGGTGTTTGTCCTCGTCCTCTTCCTTCATCCTCCTCCGGTTCCTCCTGCTCATCCTCTTGCACAACCTCCTGCTCATCTGCCACCTCCTCCTCCCGTGTACGCAGCTCTCCGGTTCCGATTGCGCATAACGCGGTAGGGGTGTGTGTGCTCTTTAGAGTTCCAGGTCGTCTGTGACACCCGACCGCGGATAGAGAAAAATGTATCGCAATGCGAAGGCATGGGTGGGAGGGGTAGGATGTCAGAGATGGCGCGAACGCACCTAGCTTGATAATTACACATTATGAATGCTACTCCCCTCTCTCCCTAGTCTCTGTCCGGAAGAGCACCTGTGTTCAAACATTGATGTTCCATGTTGTTACAATCCGATTGTTGTCGGTGTTTCGAAACGTTATTCCCGCTGAAGCGTCCGCATCGTTTTCGGATCGTTGTTTGATCCCGTCGTTCAGACAGGCGCTTCCGCCCAAGCGAAGCGCACTTTTCTGGATCCGAGGTTGTCGCCCCCTCACTTCCCCTCCTCCGCCTTCCCCTGGTCCTCTTGCTCCCCCCGCTCCTTCCATTCCAGCTCCTGCTGCTACCATTCGTTCTCGTCCGCCTCCTTTCTTACCCTTCTTTTCATCCTCCCATGTGCGCAGCTCCTCCGATTGAGCATAACACGATGGTCTGTTGCGGGGTTCCAGGTCGCCTGTGACTGTGACACGCGTCTGCGGATAGAGAAACATCAGCGCAACGGTGAGGGATGGGAGGGAGGGCTAGGATGTCAGATATGGCGTGAGAGTACCTGGCTTGCCTCCCTGCACGCCTCTCTTCTTATCCTCGCCCGCCTCGTCACCCTCCTCCCCCAGGCGTCCGAGGGGCTCTTTTGAAACGTACCCTTCACGCCTGCATGACGCATTTCCGAAATGCTGGGCAGCCCGCGCTCCAAAAGAGGTGCAAAGGAGCAAGATGGCGATGTGTTCAATGGTTGTTGTTAGACTTCTGGAACCCACGAACAAATGCTGGCGTGATTCGCACGTGCTTCAACCGCTGTCCTGACGGAATGAAGCGGGTCTCACGCGAGAAGACTTAGCGACCTGACTCCACGGCGTACGCGGGCTGCCAGCGCGGCACACCGCGAGAAGAGAGCGACTACGCGCAGCCTTGCGCGGGAAACTTACGCGCGCATGTCGGCGGTCCACCCTGTTCCCCGTCTAGCTTCCCAAGCATCTTCGGAACATGAGTGCGGGTTGCCGTGGAGTCTTGGGACGTCTCTAAGCGCGCAGGCAGGTGAGGAGGGCGTGCTGACCTCACATGGCAGGGCGCCCTTTCCGCGGAGCAGACGGAGGCACACCCCCTCCTCCTGAGCATGCTCTTTTCTTTTGGGTGCAGGGCATGGCTTCAAGTGGAATACATATCACATATTGTGGCCGCGTGCACCTCGAAGGAGCACTCGCCGACTGGGCTGGTGACTTGAAGGATGGACAGAAGTAATGCTTCGGCATGCGTATGTGTTGGGCGTCCATTGCTACGCCATTGCGGCGCATTCTCATGGGGATAAGCCATGCAGTAGCTCGGTGATCGTATCGGCCCCTCCAATGATCTGGGAACGATCGCGCAAGATCTTCCGAACACGCGACTGCTGCCCGACAGGTTAATCCAGAATTATAGCCGTCTCTTGCGTTCTGGAATGTAAGTTCGCTGAAGCACCGGTGTGGACGTTCTAGAAGTAAGTCGTGTTCGCGTGCGTCGCTGTATTAAATTCTGGAAGTTCGAATAGCGTTCTACAACGACTGTTGTGCCTTTTTCTAGAATGCGGGCGGCTCTAGGACTTTGTTGTGCGTTCTGGAATGCAGTTCGCCTCTCTCGCAAAATACCAGAAGACCATGTTGTGGCCGTTCAGCAGCACGTGTACACTGCGATCGAGCTTCCATGCCCTCTCTGAGTGTGATGGGAGGCGGTTCTAATTGAAGCCTGGAATGGCCCTTCCTGCAATCGGACGCTGCGTCCGCGCGCGAGCTTGCGTCGGCGCCCACCGTCTCGCTTACCCCGCTGTCGCAACTTGCCAGCAACGGTCTTGTCGGGATAATTGAAGGGTGGCGAAACTCTGGGCCAAACGACGCCCAGAGAAGCGCCCTGAGGGCGGCTCTCTGGGTGGAGGGCAGAGGGTGGAATCCACAGTGCCTGCCCTCATCTCCTCCCCCTTCTCGCTCTGGGGACGGGAACAGGGGGAGAGCGCTTATTCAAGACTGGGGGCAGAGGAGGAGGGGAGGAGGGGGAGGAGGGGAGGGGGATGGGGGGGGATGGGGGAGGAGGGGAGGAGATGAAGAGGGGGAGGAGGGGAAGAGGGGGACGGGGTGGAGGATGGAAGGAGGGGAAGAGGGGGAGCAGGGGAGGAAGATGGGAGGAGGGGAGGAGAGGAGAACTTGTTCGAGGAGCCTCTTCCCTCAGACGGGATGGCCGGCGGCGGCGAGACGCAGCAGCAAATCCGCGCGGCCTCGGCGAGGACTCCCCCGCCCCTCTGCCGCAGGGCGGCCCAGAGGCTCGGCGGCGGGAACGCCGAGTCGCCCCCGAGGCGCGAGCCGGCTAGGCCCGCGGGCGCGCAAGGCGAAGCAGAGGCTTGAAGCCCGCAGCCCGCGGCCGAAGGCCTGGACGGACCGAGAGGCAAGGACGTGAGGATGCCCTCGCGATGACCTGGACAGGAGAACGAGAGGCCGCATAACCATGGTCTCTTGGAGGTCCGCGCAGATTTCCTGGACAGGCGCGGGGACCCCCTCCGAAGCATGTGGATCGCGCCAGGGGAGGCACCGAAGGGGGTCGCAGCGCCGATCCAAGAAATCTGCGCGGAGCTCCCAGAAATAATGCTTATGCCGATTAGTTCTTCTTCGAAGGATGCAAGTCGAGGCCTCCTAGATGGGGTCCGAGCAGGTGGGGTCGGAGGATCGCGCCGTATCGGCGATGCAGCGCCCGACGTCGACGAGGCATCGGCGCCATCGGCGTGGAGAAAATCGAGCTCCACATCGAGCCGCATCGCCGATGCATCGGCGATGCGGCGCGATCCTCCGACCCCATCTACCCCTGCCCGATCTAGGAGGCCTAGAACAAGGATGCCCTTGCAAAGATTCCCCTGGATGGTCCTGTCTGGCTGTGCCTCCCCGCCTTCCGCACGTGAGGCGACGCTGCTCATCGGACATTGGGCTGGCGGCTGTCGCCGGCGAGGGCGCCGCGGGGCAGGGGCCGCGGCGCCGGGCATGTGAGGCACGTGAGCAGAAGCCGAGAGAAAATCCAAACTTGCAGAACCTGATGGGGCAATCTTCCACCACCACTACCGTATTTAGGACGGGGGGGAAGGGAGGATGGGGAAGTCCTCCTCTCCTCCTCCTCCTCCTCCTCCTCCTCCTCCTCCTCCTCCTCCTCCTCCTCCTCCTCCTCCCTCGCCTACCTATGCTAGTGGTGGTGGAGAATCGGCCCATCAGAGCCAGCCCATCGAAATCTCTGGTTGGGGGGCGTGCGGGCTCCACTGTCTTGTCTCAGTACACCAGGATGCCCCCGCCGCTTGAGATCGGCAGCCCCAAGGGGGGTGGTTTGGGAGGCAGTGAGAAAGCAGAGCTGCAGAGCAAGATTGAGCGAAGTCCCCTCTGCATCAACAAGATCGGGATACCCACGAGAAGAAGCGAAAGACGTCATAAGCGTATGCTTTCGGAGGCCCGCGCGGATTTCCTGGGTCGGCGCTGGACCCCATTACTGGTGCACGGAGCGCGCCACGGGCGGCGCCCGAGGCGCCGCCAGGAGGGTCCAGCGCCGACCCAGTAAATCCGCGCGGACCTCCTAAGGTTTGCGTCTCTGTACTCCAGATTTCGTAATAAAAGGGAGGGGGTCTGGACCCTCCAAGACAAGCCATTTCAGACCTCTCCCGTGGGAGAACCCTCCGAAGCATCGTCCCCAGACCCCCCCAGGCCCTCCAAGATAGCCTGGAAGAGACCCCCCCCGAAATGAGACCCCCCTCCCATTATTACGAAATCTGGAGTAAGTGTTCGCTGCTTTCTTCCGCAACGAGTGCAGTCGACCATGACATCCTTGGTCCTGATTGGGCAGAGGGGGCCGCCACAGCCGCCTCAACGGCGCTCCACACGGAGGTCGACGGTCCCCGGCAAGAACTTGACGGCGTGCCGCGCGCCGTTCGTGAGGAGGCTCATGGTATCGAGTACTTCAGGGCAGTCCTGGGAGGCAACGCTTAAACGAGGTCCCTTTGGGCCCCCAAATCCGCCGACCCTGCTGGAATGTTTGAGAGGCTTGTCATTTCGAGTCGTCGCCTCTGTCACTCGTTAGTCGTCGTCTCTGTCATCCTCTCTCCCTGCGCCCCCCCTTTCCCTGGGCCCGTCGCCGCTCCCCGCCTTTCCCTGGGCCTTCCTCCTCAAGCGCTGGGCCCGTCGCCGCTCCCCGCCTTTCCGTAGGCCCTCCTCCTTCAGCGCGCCCGCCAAAGCGACATTGAGCAACGTCGTGGTTAACTCGAAGGGAAACATCTTTGATCCCTCCCCCGCCGGGAAGGGGCGGGGTCCTGGGGGGGGTCGCGGGGGGGCGTCCTGGGGTGTGGTCTTGGGTCAGATGCGACTCCCCCCCGGGGGGTCCCAGAGGCAAAAAAAAACAAGAAGACGGGCCAGCAATGCCCCAAGAGGCCCCCAAGACGGTCCCACCGGGGCCCCGAATCGCAGAACGATCTGTCCAAGACGCCTTGACGGCCTCCAGACGGCCCAAGAGCCCTGCAAGACGTCCCAAGAAGCCTCCAGGAGCACGGCCCCAAGAGGAAAACACAATGATTCCCCATGGTTTTTGTTGCATTTCGGCGTTCTCGCCTCTTCCGCTTCCTGACGCTCCAAGACGGCCCAAGAGGCCCCCAGATCGCTCCAAGACAGCCCACGAGGGCTCCAGGAGGGACCCAAAACGGCCCAAGAGGGCCCCAGGACGGCCCAAGACGCCTCCAAGTCGGCCCAAGAGGCCCCCAAGACGGCTCCAAGAGGGTGCCCAGACGAGGGACCAGAACGAGCAATTCGAGCCCTCGGCCCCAAGAGGCTCCCAGGAGAAATCATGAGGCCCCCAAGAGGCTCCAAGAGGCCCCCAAGAGGCTCCCAGGAAGCCCCAAGAGGACCCCTGGAGGCTCCTCAGAGGCCCCAAAGAGGTCCCCGAGATCGCTTCGAAAAGACCCCAAGAAGCATCCATGAGGACTCTGACACACGTCAACGTCGTTGTCGTCGCCGCCGCCGCCGTTGTCGTCGTTCCCCTTCAGGGTCGGCGGCACCGGCTAGAAGGCCCTCGCAATCGGGTTGGTGCACGAAGCGCGCCAGATGAGCAAGCATCGAAGGACCCAAAAATCGCGAGCCCCTGCCGAATCCGGACTGGGACATGTAACGGGAAAACTACACGGCCTTGCAGACCCAATCAATCTCTTGGAGATCCGCGCGGACCGAGACGGCCCCAACGGATCGCGAAAGGGCACCGACCGAGAGAGCCTACGATGCCCCCAGGAAAGCCCGACAACGGCGCCGCGAAACTCTCTGCCCAGGGGGGTCGGCGGAATGGCGTAAGCCTCTCGAGTAAATTCATGCAGGTCCGCGCGGATTGATCGAATCGGCGTCTGTCCCCCCTCCCCCGACAAGCGGATCGTGCCACAGGGGTGGCCTAGCCACGAAGTCCGCGCGAATCTCGGAAAGTTTAGGCTTACGCAGCTTTCTCGTGGAAGGGCGACAGGAGGGAGGCAGGAAGAGCGAAAGAGCGGTGCAGGGATCAGATGAAAAATGGAGTGAGCAAGACTGATGGATCCAGACCCCCACGGTAGCGTTTTTTTCGATAAGCGGACTTCAGGGCGAAATATCAACCCCATCCATGTGCCATCCTGGGGCAAGCAGCTTCCGAGCGCGACCATAGCGAGCAAGACGCCCGTCCTCCTGTTTTCGCTGCGCCTGGAGACCTGGGCCGGTTTGGAACGTTTGCGCTCGAAAATCGTCCCTCGAACACGTTCACCGCTCGAAGAATTCTTTCGCCCGACATCAGTCCCCCGAAGCCCCCCCGAACACCGTCCTGACTGATGAGCAGCTATTCCACCACCACTACCACATGTAGGACGGGGGAGAGGGGAGGATGAGGAGCTCCTCCTCCTCCTCCTCCTCCTCCTCCTCCTCCTCCTCCTCCTCCTCCTCCTCCTGCTCCTCCTCCTCCCCCTCTTCCCTCTCCTACCTATGGTAGTGGTGGTGGAAAATGGGCTTATCACTGACCACACGTTCGAGCTGCGTCCAGCTGTGGCTGCGAGCGAGGGCCCTCCAGGCGGCCCCCCCCCAAGAGGCGAACCACCTTCGACGCCCGACCTCCTCCTCCTCGGCAGGGCGGTCCTTCGCCCCCAGGAAGATCGTGTGTATGCCATGGGCAGCTCAAACCACAACGGTGGCGAGATTCGCGGACCCCTCTCCCACCGAGAGAGGGGGAGAGGGGGAGGAGCAGGAGGGAGAAGGGAGGAGGGAGGGGAGGGTAGGGGCGGAGGGAAGAGGACGATGATGAGTGTCTGCGGGCTCCAAAATGATTTGGGTGGCCAGGGGTCTAACGCAGTGTCTTGGATTCTACTGCGTTCCATGGGGTCCTGGGTGGTGCTCGGGAGGTGTGAGGGAAACGACCACGACCATGACGACGATGCTAATGACGACGGGAGAACGAGGAGGGGTGAAATGGGAGGGGGAAGAGAAGACGGAGGAGGACAAGAAAGGGCAGAGGAAAGATAGGGGATCTAATTATCTCCCGCAGAGGGGGCAAGAGGAAGCTGGATCCAAGTACGCGGTCAAGAAACCTTTAGCGATGAAATAAGCTTTGGCGACAAATGATCCTTCCCTGCGAGGAGAATGGCCAGGACCAGCAGCAATATCCAATCTTCGAGGGTGAAAAAGCAAAGGGCAAACAAACACGCATATATGAGCTGTTAACCTGTCGAAGATGGTGTTGCAGCCTCGTGCCCTTGTACCCCCACAGGAAGGACAACTGCGAACCAGCCGCGAACCAGAGCCCCCCGTGGTGGCTTAGGCTGCCCCAGCTATGGACACTCCGAGGCTTCGGGCCGACGCCAGCTGCCGCGCCACGGAGGGGTCGCCCCGGTTGGGATGCCCGTCCGTGAGGAAGAGTATGTGCTGGTTGCAGCGGGCCGCCATGCCTGGAGGAATCACCCACAAGAACATTAACATGTGATCGTTTTCTCCCTTTAGTCGACCTCCCTTAATAAAAACGGCCTGGGACCGAAACCGACGGACCTGGGCCCGCAAAAATGACGGCCGCGACGCCCTCTGGCAAACCGAAAACGGCCAATTCCTTAATCGAAGTGTTAGGGTAGGAGGTCTGTCCACTCCCGATTATTCGGCGTTTCGGCATTTGGGCGGAAAGGAGAGGGAGTGGGGGGGTCTGACTCGGGACCTCTGCTCAATGTCACTGTTTGCAGCAGTGCGTCGTCCTCCGAGGGACACTCCACCTGCCTGCAACAGGCGCCACAGACAGGCAAGATCTACTCCACGAGGGGGGGGGGGAGGGGGGGCGGTGCGAGGGCTCGCGCCGATCGGTAAAACAATGAATAACAAACAACAATCACGATGTGCTGGTTGCAGCGGGCCGCCATGCCCGGAGAAACCACCCACAAGAACATTAGCATCCACCTTCGGAGGTCCGCGCCGTTTTCCGTGGGCTGGCCGGGGGGGCCCCTCCCCTGGTGCGCGCGGAGCGGGCCAGAGAGGCGAGCAAGAATGCCGCGCGGACCTGCGCAGGATACCTAAACAACGAGGCCCCTTTTTCCACGAGTCCAACTTCGATTTCCCAAGGGGAACCTACGGAAAACCGATGACAAGCTGTAAAACCATCAAGTAACACCGAGCCCCTCCCCAACGCAAAGGGTTCCTTATCCGGCGGCCCGACTGTACGTTTATGCTGTTCTTTCTTTCGGGAGCGGCCAAGAGGGGGGTGTCCAAGAGGGGGGGGTGCAGATCATGACCGGCGGCATGTGCGCGGCCCAGCGGGGGGGCCAGGGACGTAAGGAAACAAGAAGCGGCGCCATGAGATCTGGGGAAATATCATGGCCCCCGCCATGATATCCACCCCCCCCCTAGTCATACACCCCCCTCTTTGCCGCCCCCGATTCTTCTTCGAAGGCCCGCCCCCTCGCCTCTCATCCCCCGGAACTCGGAGAGGGCCACGTTCAGGGGCACCTCGTAGTTCGTGCACCCTTTGCTCCTTGCCCAGCGCACCTGCCTGAGAAGGGTCGCGTACTCCCGCGAGAAGAACTGACGGGACTTGTCCAGGACAAACCGGAGGACGTCATCGTTGAATTCCAAGTACCCCACATGCATGCGAAACTGCTTGGCCAACTCGATGACCTTCGAATGCCTCCTCCCTCCTCCTCGGCCTCCTCTCAAACATTTGTCCTCTACCGTGCCGCTGGCCACTGAGTGGGCGTGTCCTCGGGTCCATTGCCCTCTGCCTAATCCCGTAAGCCTCAGTCTTCACTCCTGAGAAACGTTGAAAAGGTCGGACCCCAAATTTGCAAGTATCTTCGGCCTTCCCGCGTCTTCTCGGGGCGTGCCGCGCGACCGTTTCGGGCCCCAGAGGGCCCCAACACGAGCCAAGAGGGCCCCACGAGGTCCCCCAAAACGGAACAAGCGGGCCCCGAGACGCCCAAAGATCCCACCAAGACGCCCAAGGTGGTCCCAAGACGGCCCAAAAGGCCTCCGAGACGCCCTGAGAGAGCCCTGGACAAAATCATTGATTGTCCATCGGTTCTCTAATTATTTAGAGGCCCTCGGCTTTTCGAGCTCCCGACGCTCCAAGACGACCCACAAGGTCCGCAGGACCGCCCCAAGACGGCCCAAGAGGCCCCCAGGAAAGCCACAACACGGCCCAAGAGGGCTCCAAAACGGCCCCAGAGGCGCCCAAGACGGCCCAAAGACAGCCCCAAGAAAGGCCGAAGAGGGGGAACACGAACCGAATATCCCCGTCTGCCGCCTCAAAAAGCACCCTGGAGGCCCAAATGCGGCCCCAACGAGGCCCCATGAGACCCCCATAAAACCCCGAATACGCCCCAAGAGGCCCCAAACTGGCCCCCGAAGATGCCTCACAACGGCCCCCAAGAGGCCTCCCACGACATCCCAACGAGCATCCCAGAGGCCTATGCCCCACAATCCAGGCACGGTGGTGGGATGGGCCGAAGGCTATTCGATACTATCCCAATCCTCCGCATCACCATTATGTTTGTCCACCTCATCCTTCCCCCGTCTTCTGCTTAAGCTCGTTTCTGTTATCATCCTTTCTTGTAGGTCCTCTTCGTTCATTCTCCTCCTTCCTCCTGCATCGTACCCTCCTCCTCCATTTCCTCATCCTCGACGTGCTCCTCTCTTCGCCGTCTTCGTCCTAACACTGTCCCGTTCCTTCGCCTCGTCGTCGTCGTCGTCGTTGTCCCCCTCCTCCTCCTCATCCTCCTCCTCTTTCTATAATCAAGTCCTCCGCGCTCACTCCCTATACTCTGCCCCTCCTCCTCGCCCTGTTGATCGTTGCCGTAGTCATGCTCCGCCTCCTCCTGGATGACCTTCGAACAGATCATCGAGGCGAAGATCTCGTAAGGCCCCCGCATCGATAAACTCGTGTCGCGGATGATGGCCACCCGACCGCCCAGGCGCCGGCGAACCCGCCGCTGAACCCGTGGCAGATGCGGGCCTTGGCGCGCAGAGGCAGCAGGAACGAGGAGCGGGGTGGTTGGAGGAAGGGATGATGGATTGAGGGGTAGGAGGAAGAGGTGGAGTGAGAAGGAGACGAGGGAGGAGGACGAAGAAAGAAGGGGAGTGGATGAACGGCTGAGTGAAGAGGGGAGGGCGGAGGACGAGTGTGGAGGAGAGAGAGGAGAAGAACGAGGACGAGACGGAGGAGGGGGAAGACACATGCCTCCGACGTCGTCATTTCTTCAAAGCATATGTTAGCCACGGTGGACCCCCAACAGTGACTTCTTGCACCGTGGAAGTTGCACATACCTTGTGCAAGTTATGTCGCGTAAGCTGCGTTGTGAACTATTTGCGGTGTGAGATATGTGGTGCAAGCTATAATATGTTAACTACCTGACATGAACCATGTAGTTTGAGAAAGAAGGTGTTAGCTGTAATATGCAATGTGTGGTGCAAGCTATGGCGTGTAAGCAACGCGGTGTAACTTGACCGGGGTAGGTCTTCGGACTACTTCCAATAATGGAAACGATATATCCATTCCACGCCGTTATTGATGGACTGGGATCCCACCAATCATGGAACATGTTTTTGTCGCGGCACCCGCTGCGCAACAGCGACGACAACGTCTACGACTACTAGGAAGAGGAGGAGCAGGAGGAGGGGCGGAGATGATTGCCCGCCGAGGGAAACAGTAGGAGGGCATCCTCAAACCGAAAGACCTCCCTCGGTTATGTGCAAGCTGTGTTGTGTACTGAAGGTTGGTGCGAGCTGTGCTGTGACAGCTAACCAGCGTAACGCATGTGTTGCAAGGCAAGCTGTGCTGTGTAAGCTAGGTGGCTTGAGCTACGTGGTCTGAGCCGAGCGCTGCAGGCTACATGGTGCACGCTATGTGCTGTACGCTACGTTGTGCTGTGCAAGCTGCGTGGCGAAGCGCACGGGAGGGGGGCCCACGAGGTGCCCACGAGCAGGCTCCGGCGCCCATGCGGCGAAACTTCGGGAGACCTGCACAGCGCACGGGGGGCCCACGAGGCGCCCACGAGCGAGCGCGGGGGCCAACGGGGCGAGCCCCTGGAGAAGCCCCTCGAATGTCCGAAGAGAGCCAAGTCCGCCACCGTGCCCTTCGGCACGGGGTGGGCGTGCCCTCGGGTCCCAACCCTGAGCCTCATATCGGGGAACGAACACTGACACTAACATCAAAACTCTGAGGTCCGCGCAGATTTCTCGGATCCGCGCTGAACCCCCCTGGCGGCGCCTCCGGCGCCAGCACCTGGCGCGTTCCGCGCGCCAGGGAGGGGTGTCCAGCGCCGATCTGAGAAATCCGCGCGGACCTCTGAGTTTTCATGTTTCTGTCATTGTTCGCTTCCCTATCTAAATCTCATTCCTCGCCCCTCAGGAGTTCCTCTGGGGCCCCGGCCCGAAAAGTTTCAACTCTGCCGGGGCTTCCCTCGTCTCGTCGGGGGCTTCCCGCGTCTTGTCGCGTGACTTTTTCTCGGGCTCCAGGGGGCCCCAAGACGAACCGAGCGGGCCCCGAATCGCCGCACGATCGGCCCAAGACGCCCGAGATGGCCCCAAGACGGCCCAAGGTGTCCCCAAGACGCCCGAAGAGGCTTCCAAGAGGCCCCCCGAGAGGATCCCAAGAAGCAGCATTGATTTTCCTTTAGCTTTTGAATGATTTTGGCGTTCTCAGCGTTTCGGCTTCCCGACTCTCCAAAACGGCCCAAGAGGCTGGCAAGATCGCTCCAAGACGGCCCAAGCGGCCTCCCAGAGGGCCCAAAGAGGCCCAAGAGGGCCTCCAAACGGCCCAGGAGGCGTCCAAGACGGCCCAAGAGGCCCCCAAGGCGGCTCCAAGAAGGGTCCCCGACGGGGGATCCGAATGTACATGTCAAGCCCTCGGCTCCAGGACGCCCCCAGGAGGCCCAAAAAGGCCACCAAGGGGCCGCCAATAGCCCCCAAGAGGCCCCGAAAAGGTCCCCAGGATGCCCAAAGAGGCCCAATTGGCGCCCAAGATGCCCCCAAGTTGCTCCGAAGAGGCCCCCAAACTGCCCCCAAGAGGGTCCCCGAAAGCGCCCCGAAGAGAACCTTTGAAGCACCCCTGAGGACTCTGACCCACAACCCAGGCACGGTGGCAGGATGGACCGAAGGCCATTAGAGACGGTCAGAGACAAACTCATAAAAGATGAATCACTATTTGCGGATTGTTTCCGCACTTTCGGCATGCAAAGGTGATTCTCCTCGCAGGGCCACTGTCGAACGACCCGCAGCGCGAGACTGGCCCTGGGGGATGTGGCCGAGAGCTCCGGAGGGCCGCGCAAGAGAATCAGGACGTCGGTGGCCTGGGGAAGAGGGTGGGGAGATGGCGGGAAATCCAAATCGGACAATGTTTATCAGATCGTGTACAGTAGGAGCTCGACCACAAGAAGCCTTCCACAAGAGACCCGACCCTGAGACACCAGAACGTCCATTGATGTTTCGTGTGATAGTGCCACGCTTTCCATAGCAAAACCATCGAAACCCAAGACACCCAGGGCACCCTGGAGGCAAGCTGGGTGTTTTTTGTTGGCATGGGCCCCCACGGTGAGGATGCAGATGTCCCCGGACGTCACAGCTGCAACAGCCGCGGCGGCGGCGGGCCAACGCACAAGCACAGACGGGCATGCGCGGCGGCTGTACGCGGCGGCGCTCGCGGGCGGCGTTCGTCGTCGCCACCATCGTCGTCGTGTCGTCGTCGTCCTCCTCCTCCTCCTCCTGTCCTGTTTCTGTTTGCAAAGCTTAGGGCCCCCTTCCTCCTCCTCCTCCTCCTCCTCCTCCTCCTCTCCTCCTCCTCTCCTCCCTCCTCCTCCTCTCCTCCTCCTCCTCCTCCTCCTCCTCCTCCTCCTCCTCCTCCTCCTCCTCCTCCCCTCCTCTCCTCCTCCTCCTCCTCCTCTCCTCCCTCCTCCTCCTCCTCCTCCTCCTCCTCCTCCTCCTCCTCCTCCTCCTCCCCCTGCTGCTGCTCTCTCGCCTCCTCCCCCTTTTCCTCCTCCGTCGTCCTCCGTCCTTCTCCTCATGTGTCGTCCTCCATCCTTCTCCTCTTCCTCCGTGCTCCTCCTTCTCCTCCCTTGCCGCTGTTCCTCCTCCGCCCTCCTGGTGCATACTGGTGCATGGAGCAACCCAGATGCAACACTGCCCTGTCGGTGCCGTGTGTTTTCCTGGGAGGTGGCGCTCGGCACGTGCGCGAGGTGTCTGCTGTGGCCTGCGTGAGCGGCGAGGCCGCGCGCGTGCAGTGGGCTTCTGCCAGAAACTGTGCTGCGAGGTCGCAGGGATACGAGGCGAAGTGGGGGTGTCGACGACGACGGCGACAAGACCGAGGAGCGGGGAGGTGTGGGGGGGAGAGGGGCCGGGGCCGAGTATGAGGAGTTGGAGAAAGCCTGTGACGAGGAAGAGGAGGGAGGGGGGAGGGGAGGCAGAAAGGAGGGTAGAGGAGGAGGAGGAGGAGGAGGAAGAGGAGAAGGAGGAAGAGGAGGAGGTTCCCCTTCCTCATCGTCATCCCTCGTCGTCTCGCGTTCCTCCACCCTCCTCCCTCTTTCTCCTTCCTCTCATGTTCTCGCTCGTTTTCCTCGTCCTCCTCCTTTTTCTCTTTCCTCATTCCTTTGCCCCGTATCCCCCCCTTCTCCTCCTCGTTGCCTCCTCCTCCTTTTCCTCCAACTCCTCCGCCTTGCTTCTTCCTTCTCCTCTTCCTCCTCCTCCTCCTCCTCCTTCTCCTCCTCGTCCTCCCCGTCCTCCTCCTCCTCCTCCTCCTCCTCCTCTTCCTCGCTTTGTTGCTATCTACCTCGCCTCAACACCCTGGAACCCCTAAAATCCATCGATCACATCAGAGAAGCCTGCAACTTCGTAAATTGACCTAGAACCGATTGGAAGTTCCCAGGGCCCTCTAATATCATCCTCTTCCTCCTCCTCCTGCTCGTGCTCCTCCTCCTCCTACCCTTCTTCCTTATAAGAATATACTCTTACTCCCCCTCTGTCCGACCGGTAGCAACCCCACCCGAGGGGGTTCCATCCTGATTGCCAAAAAAAACAATACAACGTCTCCATTGTTCCTCTCAACATGGCCTGTGAGATCATTTTTTTATTCCGGCCGGTAACGCTCGTTACCCGGGGGGGGGGGGGGGGTAGTGCCCCCCGGGTAACGGTAACGCTTGGGCTGGGCGGGGTATGGCGAAGCAGGGGCGCTCTGCGATCGCCATAGTATGCGCGCGAGCAGCACTCTCTGCCTGAGAGCACCACAGTGGCTTGCGATTCGAGTACAAGCGCAAAGCCCGCCGCGTGGTCCCGGCACCACGCCCGCGCCCGCGCGCGCGACGACGATGATCGACGAGCGACGAGCGACGAGGTCGACGACGACGACGACGACGTTTGCCGCCTGTTTCGGCCTCCGGAGGCCGTTTTCGGGCGCCGTCGACGACGACGACGACGACGACGACGACGACGACGACGACGACGATTCGAGTACAAGCGCAAAGCCCGCAAGCACCAGCATCGCGCATGCGAGCGCCGCAATGGCCTGCGAGCGCCCACAGTGCGCCTGCGACCACCACACCACAGTGCGCATGCCTTCGGGCACCAGCATGTTGGAGGGGAAGACCGAGACCCCCCCCGCGTACGAGCGTTACCGTTACGGGGGGGGGGGGGGGAGAGGCCCGGGTAACGAGCGTTACCCCCCAGAGGATAAAAAAACACTCTCTGTCTTGTCGTCGACGATGCGAAATGCGTGGTAGGAATGGGACGCGGCGCACACCTCCCAGGGTCTCCTGGAACATCCTGGGGCTTCCCGGGTCTTCCCTTGGGCCTCGTGGATCCTCCTGGGGCCTCCTGAGGCATCCTGGGGGTTCCTGGGATTTCTCCATGTTTCCTGACACCTCCTAAGGCTTCCTGAAACCTCCTGGAACCTCCTGGGACTTCCAGGGCCCTCCGGAAGCCTCCTGAGGCTTCCTGGGGTTCACAGGGGCTTCCTGCAACCTCCTGGGGTCCCCTGAGGCCTCCTGGGGCCTCCTGCGGCTTTCTGGGGCCTCCTCGGCTCGTGCTGAAATGTCAGCGCAATCTTTGAGACGCGCCAGGAATTTCCCATCGGCAACCGCCATCACGGCTGCATCAGCTGTGGCAAACCACCTTGCCGATCTGATGTCGGTCCCCAGTTGCGCCAGCACTGCTTCTTCTGTTGTGGGAGGACGGGTGAGAATGGGCATGCCGTGCTTGACTCGCTCGAGCTGGCTAGCTCGACTCCTACTCCTACTCCTACTCCTACTCCTACTCCTACTCCTACTCCTACTCCTACTCCTACTCCTACTCCTCCTCTTTCCTCCCCCTCGTCCTCCTCTCTCCTCCCACTGGCCGCCCCACGTCCTCCTCGCTCCCCTCCACCGCCCTCTTCTCCAACCTCCTCCGAAGGCCTTCCAAAGCCTGCGGAAGCCTTCGGAGAAGCCGTCCAAAGCTGCTGAACGCAACGGAAACCGCTGGAATCCTCCGAAATCCCTGCTCCATCCCTCCCGCCTCTCCTAGTGGCCTCCCGAACGGGTCCGAGTAAATTGGGTCGGAGAATCGCGCCGCATCGCCGACGTCGGCGATGCATCGGCGATACATCGGCCATGCATCAGCGATGCCGGAGTGGAGATAATCGGGTCCCACATGGAGCCCAACTCTCCGCTCCCTTCTCCCCGCTCCCCCTTCGCGCGACGAAAACGTCGGCGTCGGCGGCGTCGACGTCGGCGTCGGCGGCGGCAGCCGCCGAAGGTGTTCGCACCACACACCGCCGAGCCGCTGGCCGGGGCTGCTGCCAAGAGGCCCCTGGGGCCCGAGGTGCCCCCAGGCTCCCATGGGGAGCCCCCCCCCCGCCCTCGGGAGGTCCAGAGGGCCCCTTCGGGGCGGGCCCCCATGGGGCGGAGCTGGTGACGACTTGGGCCAGGAAGAGGATCGGCTCTCCTCCCACGACGCAGACGCCATCGCCGCCGCCGCCACCGCCGACGACGACGACGACGGCGGCCCTGAGATCCCGCGTTGCGAACAAAAGTGCGACATCGCGAAACATCTCGTCCAGAGCCCTAAACCATTTTTCTGCAGCACTTCACTGAAACGACACTAAATCGCTCGTTGCGAAAAAAGGCGACGCCAGCATCTCAGGGAACGAGGACGTCGACGACAACGATGGCAGCACCGACGTCGGCGTCGGCGGCGTCGGCGAGGGCGACGTCTCGGAGCAGGGCGAGCTGAGGGCGAGCTGAAACAACGGCAGCTCAAGCTCGGCCCCCCGACCACTCCCGGGCTCCAGACGCACCAGTTTGTCGAGCTGCGCCCGGTCGTGGCGAAGAGAGGCCCCCCGAAGGCCAACCCGTGATGTCTCAACCCGCTCTCCTCCGAGTCGGCAATAATTACGCAGTTCCAGGAAGTCCCGACCCTTCCCCCAGCCCTGGCCCGGCGCCCCCCGCCGCTCCTGCTCCTGGACGGCCCCGGGGCCCGGCGAGGACCCCTCAGAGGCCGAAAAACGGCCAGAAGCGCCTCTTCGAAACGCTTCCGCGCTGCGAGCATGTCCGTGGCCGGCGGCGAGGGCAGCGAGGGAAGGCGGCAGCGGCAGCCGCCTGGGCTCTCGCACCACACCGCCGCGCCGCCGAGGTCCGCATCCAGGACGTCGGAGAAGCTCCGCAGCGCCGCCCAACCACGCGGCAGGCCCCCCGGGTGCTCCGCCTGAGCACCGCCGCAGTCGGGGCTGGCCGCGCCGTCGCCGCCGTCGCCAGCGTCTTCCGCCCCTCCGCTCCTCCGCTCCGTTCCCTCCTCGGTCCTCCATCGTGCCCATTCTCCATCCTCGTCCTCCGCCCCTCCTTTCCTCCGTTCCCTCCTCGGTCCTCCATCATGCCCATTCTCCGTCCTGGTCCTCCACCCCGCCGCTGCTCCATCCCCTCCTCGGTCCTCCATCGTACCCATTCTCCGTCCTGGTCCTCTGCCCCTCCGTTCCTCCGTTCCTTCCTCGGTCCTCCATCGTGCTCATTCTCCATCCTCGTCCTCCCTCCGCCCCTCCCCCCCTCCCCCCTGCGTGGTGCGCGGTCCACCCTCCTTCCGTGGTCCGCCTTCCTGCATCCTCCTCCTCCTCCTCCTCCTCCTCCTCCTCGCTCACTCTCCTCCCTCTCCTCCTCCTCCTCCTCCTCCGCCTCCTCCTCCTCCTCCTCCTCCTCCTCCTCCTCCTTCTCCCATGGCCGGAAGCATCCTCCCCTCCTCCTCCTGCACCCGTTCCCCCTCCACCACGAGGAGGTGGAAGGGGTGGTGGGAGGAGGCTGGGGGGAGGGGCGGTGAGGGAGGACGGAGAACGGAGAGGGAAAGGATGGGATGAAGGGACGGGAGGAAAGGACGAAGGTCGGGAACACCATTCTGGCGTCCACGCGGCTTGCCGTGATCGCGCATCGTTTCCTGATGCCTGCCACGATTGCCTGTGGATCAGGCGTTCGATACAGGTCCAGCAGGTGGAGTGCGTCAAGTGCCCCATTCGCTCATGGTACCTGTTGAAGCTTAGGTCGGGCGTGTCCCCCGGCAGACGGATTTTGGATGACAAATGAAAATAGGCAAGAACATACCCCAAAAGTAGTCGAAACGAAAATCGAGAATTCGTCCCCTGGCTATTTTTTGACTATTCTTGAATGTTCCTCCTGTAGAGGGACATGCCCGACTTAATAGTACCTGTTTCAGCCCGACCAAACCAACCTCACAAGTGCTGGACGCTGCGGGGGACCGCGCCGCGCCGTGCCCGCCGCGCCCTGTGCGCCCTGCTGCTTCCGTATACGGCATGCTCTCGTCGCGCCGATCCCGGCGTTGCTTCCTGATGCAGCGGGGATCGTTCAGCCTTGAACGATCGCCCGTTTCCGAAACCCGAAACGTCAGATCGTTCGACATCGACCGCTTCTGGGTCGCCGGCGGCGCGCAGCGTTGAACGCCTTTTTGTTTCGGGACAGCGCGGTAGAGGCGATCCGCGCGCGCTCTGGTGGGCCGGGCTCGGGAGCACACGAACTGTCCGGCTGCAAGAGGGGAGAGGGGGCTGGAGGGCGGCCGCAGAGGACGGAAGAAAGAGGGAAGGCACCCACTGTACGAAGACGACGCTGAACGCAAGCGGCGGGGTCGCCGCCGGTCGACACGACGCGAACCTGCCGTAAAGGCTCCGGCAGGACCGCCGTGCGGCGCGAGGAGGAGGAGGAGGAGGAGGAGGAGGAGGAGGAGGAGGAGGAGGAGGAGGAGGAGGAGGAGGACCTCCCCGCCGGGCCCGCCCGCCGCTCGGCAGCCCGCGGGGACGTCGCGGCCGCTTCGACGCGCCCGCGGAGGCGGGCAGGGCTTCGGGACGGGAGGCAGTGCTCGGGCCTCCCTCGGAGGGCAACGAGAGGGCGGGCAGGGTGGCAGACGAGGCGCACCAAGGCGAGCAGGGCAGGGCGCAGGGAGGGAGGGGGGGAGGAGGCCAAGACGGGAAGGAGGGGACGGAGGGACGAGGGGGGAGGCAGGTCCGGGAGACGACAACGAGGAAGGCGAGGCGTCCTCCTCCCTCCACCTTCCCCGACTCCTCCCCTCCTCCTTCTCCTCCTCACCCTCCCGCTGCCCTCTCATCCGCCCTCCTTTTCCCTTCCACATCCGCCCTTTCCCCTCCCTCCCTCTCGCTTCCTCTCACTATATTATCCCTTCATGCCTCTCCCCCCCTCCCCTCGTGGGCGCAGCCGCCCGATGCAGGCTGCTGATTGGGACATGCGGGATGTGGAATGAAGCGGCCCGGGGAAACATCGCCCGCGCTGCTTAGCATAGGGTGTCGCACCGCGACACCTGGGTGCCAAGTGGCGTCGGGACCCATTCCAATCCTTCTCCTGCTCCATCCCTCTGCCCACCTCCTCTTCCGTCCCCTCGTCGTCGTCGTCCTCCTGCATGTCTGCTCCAGGGAGAGGAGGAGAAGGACGCTAACGGCTAGGACGATGACGAGGGGAAGGGGGACGGCGACGAGGGGGAAGGGGGAGGGGAATCAACCTAAACAGGCCAAATTTTTTTCAACACGCGGCCTCCAAGAATCCCGACCCTTCCCCCGAGATCGATCTTCCAACCCGAGTCGTGCTGGATTCCCCCGACGAGAGGACGTCCTGGGAGTGAGCAGCGCGAGAAAACCGAGGCGCCGCACGCACGCGAACGTGGAGGGACCCGTGGGCCCAGCGCGTGGGGCTCCAGGTCCACGGATCGAGGGGCCTGCTCCCCGAAGCATGGCGCCAGTGCCGCCCGATTTGGCGCCAGAGCGCCCCATCTCCGCGAGGAGGAGGGCGGAGAGGAGGAAGGAGGAGAGGAGGAAGGAGGAGGGGAGGAGGGAGGAGAGGAGGAGGGAGGAGAGGAGGGAGGAAGGAGGAGGGAGGAGGGAGGAGACCTGGCCGCCAACCCACGCGCCCGCATCCACGTCTGCGCTTCCTCGAAGGACTCGCCATCGCTCGGGCGTCCGTTCCCCGCGCGCTGCTCGGCTTCGGGCGTGCGATTGTTCGACGATGGCCCAGGATGCTCCTCGATGTTCCTCGCCGGAAAAAAAAGAAAGCACGTGCGAGCGACGGAAGGAGGAGGAGGAGGAGGAGGAGGAGGAGGAAGAAGAGGAGGAGGAGGAAGAAGAGGAAGAGGAGGAGGAGGAGGAGGAATAGGAGGAAGAGGAGGAGGAGGAGGAGGAGGAGGCGGAGGAAGAGGAGGAGGAAAAGGAGGAGGAGGAGGAGGAGGAGGAGGCTTGGGACGTGGAGGGGGCCTGGGCCGCGGCGCCGTCCCCGAGCTTCCCCCGCAGCTCCCGCAGCAGCGGCCGCAGGTTGTCCACGTCCCGCTCCTGGGGCGGAGGGGGGGGGGCGCGCGGACGCGTCGAGGGCAGACCCGCATCTCCGACGACTCGGGCGGGTGGGAAGTTGGAAGGTGGCCCACACGGGGGGGTGGAGACCAGGGGCCCTAAATGAGCCCCTTAGGGCTCCCTTTGGGCCCCTGCTGGCTTCACAAGAGGTGCCCGGGCCCTTTTTCTTCGCCTCCCATTTGGGTCACCCCCCTTCGGTGGCAACTCATGGGGGCCTCCCATACCATCTTGTCGGCTCCTGCGACTTGAGGCACCTCGACGCGAAGTCGACGCTAAGTCGACGCTGGCCGACGCGAAATTGGCGCTACCTCATCGACTCCCAGACGCTAATCGACGCCAGTCGACGGAATCAAGAGAGTAGGCCAGGCTTCCATGACCTGCTACCGAACCCCAAACTGCCACCCGCCCGACCCGCACCTCCGACGACGCGATTTCCGTGCAGTCCCGCGCTTCTCCTCGAGCTCGGCCGTCGGAGGCCCGCACTCGGAGGCCCTCGGGGCATCACGCACGGATCCGGGACGACTGCCTCCTGGGGAATCCCGCGGGGCTGCGGAGTGGAAAAACAGACCGGCGACTGCAGTCAACCCGTATAGCAAGGATGCGCGATAAGGATGCAAGGGCCTTGGAAGGCCATGTCGAAGCTTTGCGGGCGGGGCGCGGCCATGGACAGCGGCCAAGAATGGGCCGAAGGGGCAAGGATGCAAGGGTAGCCTTGGGAAGGTTGCCCATCCTGACCAACTATGCGGGTTGTTGACTGTATCAAAATCGCTCCTCCATGAATTTCGGGTGCGCCAAAGAAGGGGGCTAGGAAGAAGCGCGTCACCGCTTCATGGCCCCCGGGCACGCGCGCAGACGAGACTTGCATGGCCCCGGCCACAATATCCACACACCCCTCGTCCTCACCCCTCTGTTGGGCGCCCCCAAGGGCGCTACGGATAATCCGATGTGTGGTTCGACGCTGCATGGGCAGTCAGGATCGAGCCACGAAATCGGATCGAACAGGAACGTGAGCTGGATCGGGCCGCATCGGCACGGGGTCCGGATCGGATCGGCCGCGGCAAACTGCACAACGGATTTTCTATTACTCGTTCTACGAAATCTCATACATCTGCGCAAATCCGGCCCCGGAGGAGTTGGTCCACTCAAAATTGTTCTGATGTCTGCGACTATCGATGCCACGCGCTTCGTCGACTATTTCGAAACGCTGCCCTCTCTTCCGTTGGCTCGAGCAGGACCACGCCGGACGAAATCGAAACCGAATCAGGCCGATCGGATCGGATCGAAAGCGGCAACTGGGCCCCTGTGCTGCGGAAAGTCGAATGCAACACTGCTTTTTTTGAGGCGGGGAAAGTGCTACTCACGGCTTGGCCTGACAGAACGACGACACTGTCCAGCATCGGGTAATCCCCACATGAACCATGGTTCTCCGCAAGGTGGCGAGGTGCCATAGTTGGGGCGGCAGGGGAGCATCGAACATCGCGCCAAACTGCGCGTGGAGGACCAGGGGGCGCAGGGGAAAAGAGAGCATGAGAGATGAGAAGGATGGGACGGGGCGCGGTCTGACGGCCCTCGAGCCCCTCAGGGGGGGCGGCTCGGGGGGGCGCAGGCAGTTATCGCCCTCGCTCGCGCCCGAGTAGATCCCAAAGAACGTGTAAAGGAGGAGGAGGAGGAGGAGGAGGAGGAGGAGGAGCAGGAAGAGGAGCAGGAGAGGGAGGAGGAAGAGAAGGCGGAGGATGAGAAAAGACAAAGGGGGGGAGGTGGGGGACAGCGGCCAACAATTTTCGCATTTGCGGGGGAAGCGTCTTGGAGAAAGGGGTTCGTCCTCCATCACCTGACGAGGCGGGGGGCGGGGGGTGCAATTTTGTGGGGCCGCTCCAACCAGTGCATTCTTATCTGGGAATACTGTCCTGGACAACTGGGTGCCGGGGCAATGTATGCAGGAGGGTCGGGCACAAAAACTGCCTTTCAAATTGTCTCGAACGCGAACATGAATGACCGAATGTCCATGACACTATGTCGGAGTGTCCAGAACTAACCAGGACAGTACTTCCACAAACGGCAAGACACGTATTGCTTTTTAAGCCCAAACACCCACCGACGGCCTGGAAGAGAACGTCAGTCTTCCTCCTCCACCCTTTCCTCCTTTTCCTCCTCCTCCTCCTCCTTCTCCTCCTCCTCCTCCTCCTCTTACTCCTCCTCCTATTCCGCGTCCTCCTCCACCTCCTCGTCCTCCTCTTGCTCCTCCTCCTCCTGCCCCCCCTCCTCCTCTACCTCCGATTACGTCTCCGCGTGGCTCTCGTTCCCCCGCCGCCCCCCCTCCCTCCTCGCGCCCCCTGCCCTCTGCCTTTCCACTTCATGCCTTCGTGAGCAGTCTCCCCCACTTCACCGGCCCTCGTTCTCTGCTTTCCCTCCGCCACGCGTCCCCAGAATACATTCCCCTCGCGCGTGGCCCTCCACGAGGTCCGCCTGACGCCCACTTTAGGGCCAGAAGATGCTCAGAAGGACTGGTAACGTAGACTGGTTCCAACACTTGCCAACGCATTAGAATCTACGACCGGTAAACTGAATGCGGCGCTGCAAATTATTCGTATATTTGCGGACAATCGTGGAACCACTCATTTCTGTTATCAGAATAATACCTGACTTAACGGTCTGAGACAACCAGAACAGCCCACCTCGTAGCACATCCCCCCGCTTCCGTGATTTTCGAACCGAAGAAGCAATGGGACGCACATGGACATACTAGTACTATATGTCCTCCTTGGAGGCGCGCGTCCGACCCGAGCATGTTGGGGTGTTGCCGAAGCAAGGACGACCGCCTCGTCGCAGGAAGCGCCGAGGACGCGACAGTTCTCAACGCCCCTCGGTCCAGCGTGGGAGCAGCTACCGGGTCGACCCTGCTGATTCGGGCGTTGCTGGAAGCGGTCCTGGCACAAGGTCGTCGACTGCCGAGCACGAGCCGTCGGGCCCGCTTGCACACCCTGTTGGTCCAGCGAGCATTGAATACAAATCGTAACCTGCCGTCCTCCTGTCTGACGGAAACGCAGCTGGCCCGGAAGTGCACCCGACACCTCATGTCAGCAAGCCGATGGCATGCAGCGACCACAAGAACTCGATCATGCTGTGCCAAGACCCCTTGGGAACCGGGTCCCAGTATGGCTGACCGCGCAGCAACTTGGTGTCGATATCGGCAGTGAGCTCCGCGCCCGACTTGAAAATCTAAGTGGCCGGGTCGCGGATGCAGGGAGTAACCTCGGCCGACGTGATGGTGTCGACTTCCTCGAGGTGGAGGTCACCTCGAGCGACTCGCAATCGAGAAACATTGCAGGTGCCCACCGCTGTGCCGCCAATCAACGAATAGAAATCATACAGGTGGAGGAGATCGGACAGCGCCTCGGCCTCGCTCTCCTGCGGCTAAGCCAGCAAGGATAGGAGCCACGGCCGCTCGGGCTCGCATCCAGGCTCGACGTTGCCACCACGCTGAACGCACACCAAGGACGAGTTCACTGCAGCGCAGACCCTCAAGAAATGGTCCCCGCGGATGCGCCCGAGACAAGGCGGTCAGCGCAAGCGCGACGTCGCTGAGGAGCTGAGCCGTAAGGGCGGTACCCTCGATGAGGCTCGAGACCGGCTGCCGGGGCAGCTTGGACTCCATGGCCGCCGAACGGACGGGAAACGGTCGAGTGGTCGAGTGTCACTGGGAAAATGATCCGCAGGACGCTGGGATCACGCGCCAGCGGGGCTGCAGCCTGGCGTCAAAGCCCGTTCATGCCGCCCTCGCCTTCTTTGTGACCTTCAAGGTTGTGCTTAGCCTTCCTCTTTGCGTCGAGCCCCTTCTGGAGCAATCGGTTCCGCTTCAGGATGCGTGCCTCCGCCTCAGCCAAATCCCTATGTGAGCAGTGAAAGCCTGGGTGGTGCCGCCTTGCCCGTCCTGCGCGCGCTCGACCTTTCTGCGTGGCCCCTCGACATTCGGGGCTTCGGGTTTGACGCGCACCGCCAGCTCGAATATGATGACCCGTCTCGCTGCCAGCCCCAGATGAGTGCAGCCTGGTGAGATCGAAACCACCGTGTCCAACCACGCGCGATCTGCATGTGTACTTTGAGTGGCCATGCCACCTCACTCACGCTGTGGCCCCGACGGTCGCACCCAACGAGAGTGCTACGTCGAGACATAGATGCCCGGGGCGTGAACCATGCGCAACAACTCGACAACAGAAAGAATGCCCGTAGCTGGCCATGATGGGGTCATCGTCAAGTCTTTGTGCCTTGAACGCCCTGCAGGGCGGCATCACGCCAGCCGCCAAATCGCCAGAACAACTGCCGCACCCCGACGATCTTGACCCACGTCTGCCGGCATGTCAGCCTACTACCTCTCGACATCCGAGTGCGGCATGAGCTCCAAAATGGCACACGACCAGCGGGTTCCACCACCGCGAGCCCGACAGAACCTCGCATGACCCACGTCTGCGTCGATTACACTCGCTCATCATGAGGTCGCGGTCGCGCACTCCAACATCGCCAATGAGACAATTCCACGCATGTGCGGCGGCCACCCTGCTGCTCGCAGCGAAGGCCACGCGACCTCTTGCGAGCAAGCCCATGATCTCGACGGCGTCGTCCGCGGTGCATGCACCCCAACCGCGACAGCGTGGTGCCAGCGTGCATACCCCCAAGACAAAGTGGTGCCAGGTGTGCGGCATGTGGCTTGTGTCCTTTGCCAGGGTCTGAGACTCCGCGTTGGCGAGCACACGCTCCGTATCGGCCGCTGGGCCCGCCATCGCGCCATCCGAACCTCACTGGCCGCGAGCTTGACCAGCAAAGCCCTGCCCCCTGGCCGAGCAGCAGCCTGCGGCGCACACGCCAAGCCCGAGGACTATCGCGAGCACTGCTGCGCAGGCCGCTCTCAAAGAGCAATGCGCACGGGGTGCCACTCGAGGTCTCAACGGGCTTGCAGAAGCTCACGGAACTTCTCGCCGCAGGAGAACTCACTCAGGCTCGGGGGCAGGCGCCAGGCAGCGCGGCTTGGGCACCACGGGCCAAAGCGGGAAGATGGCCTGCCACAACCACGCACTGGCATCCACGATCGCGGCTGCCCACGGGAGGTCCGGATGCATTGGCGTGAACCTGAACGCCTTCAGAACCAATCCCTCCCGCGCAGAATGAAATGTGCAAGACTGGCCATTGCCCAAAACCGACAGCGAGCTCTGTTGGGCAGGCGGCCTCCCGCCTCAAGTGGACAAACGGCCGCGGCGACACCGACAGCGCATCCTGTCCAAAGCTTGGAGGGACCTGCTGTCGGGCCCACAGACGGCAAGAGTGGCCCGAAGGCGAGGCGCGGGGAGGCCGAACCCGAGCGCGCACGCCGCTGCTGCCATCGCATCGCACCCAGCCCTCTGGGGGCCTCGATGTGCCCACACGGAAGGTCACCTCCTCCTCCTCCTCCTCCTCCTCCTCCTCCTCCTCCTCCTCCTCCTCTCCATTTTCATCCTTCTCTTCCTCCTCCTCCTCCTACTCCTCCTCCTCCTCTTCCTCCTCCTCCTCCCTCCTCCTCCCTCCTCCTCCCTCCTCCTCCTCTCCTTAGAGGCCTCCGTGATGGGGTTCGAGTGGAGATGGTGTCGGGGGATCGCGCCGCGCCGCCAATGCATCAGCGATGCATCGGCGATGCATCGGCGATGCATCGGGGAGTCGGCGGTGCATCGGCGACGCCAGCGCGGATCAGATCAGGCTCAGCACCGGGCTGCATCGGCGATGCATCGGCGATGTGGCGCGATCCTCAGACCCCATCTACTCGGACCCCACTCGGAGGCCTAGAAACCTGGCGCAGGGTCCCTCTTGCCCTGCGGTTGGAAGAGGTGAGCCTCAACATTAAGTAGGAAGGCGTCGGAAGTGTAATAGGATTTGAGCACACTCCCTGGAGACGAGGGCAGAGAGGGAGAACCGCTGGACCCCTGAAGTAAGAAGGCGCCTAAAGCAGATTGGGATCTGGGAGCTCAGAGGCGCCTACTTTCCAAACACCGGCGTGCAGAACTCCGGCGCAAGGTCACTCTTCGCTGCAGCCGACCGTGCCACTCCGTGCCCTCCCCCTCCCCATCCTCCTCCTCCTCCTCCTCCTCCTCCTCCTCCTCCACATCCTCCTCCACATCCTCCTCCTCCTCCTCCTCCTCCTCCTCCTCCTCCTCCTCCTCTGCCTCCTCTGCCTCCTCCCCCTGCTGGGTCCTCGTGGGCCGGCGCGACCGCCCCCGAGCACGGCGCCATGCCCTCGGTGACGCAGCCCGGGTCGTGCCCCATGGAGCGCGCGAGGCGGCGCTCCTCAGGCTCCTCGGGGGCAGCTGGGCCCCCTCCGGGGCAACCACAGGGGGGGGGGCAGGCAGAGGGAGGGGGACGCATCGACCCCGAATGGTCAATGAGTACATCCAGGATGCATCGACGATGCATCGTTGATATCAGGGACGATGTATCGACGACACATGGGGCGGTCTGCGTCGACTGTGTGTCGATGTTGCATGGGCGATGTATTGGTAAGTCGAGGCCGATGCATCTCCCCCTAGCCAATTCTTTATTTCTTTCCGACGCCTCTGATTACCGTGACAGGCCACGAATACTAGACACAGCCATGCAATACAAATCACAATGAAAGTGAAGACTGGACTACTTAAGGAGTTCGGGCTCGCTTGGTCGACCATTGTTTGGAACAGACTCTGGACAAATACTGGATGGCGTCATCGAGCACCATCGCCTCGGCAGTGAAGGATGAAAACGGTATGCCTATTCCCCCCAATCGTTGCCCCCCTCTCCCCCCGATGCTTTGGCAGCGAAGGGGACCAAAACATGCTGGCGTCGTGACAAACATCACGGCGGGTGGTTTTTGCCAATATTCGGCCTCTCGGAGCCCTGGCAAGGGTCCCGGGACCGTCAAAAACGGCTCGGGATGACAATTTGGCCATGGGAAAGGGTCGGGACTTCCGGGCGACCCCGTATTGAAGAAAATTAGACACCGGATGTCTACGAATTCGCCGGCCCAACGGGCCAGGGCGTGCTAAGATCTCCGGTACCTGGTTAACAGTATTTCTAGTTCGCGCGCGCGGGGCGGCCCCTGGGGGTCCCCGGACGAACAGTACCCCGGCAAGGTCCCGGCAAGTCCCCGGCAAGGTCCCGGCAAGGTCGGGTCAGAGATGCCGGAGTTCTGTTTCGGAGTCCAAGAGGGCTCCAGATCGGTCCAAGAGGGCCCCGAGAAGCTTTCTAGACGGTCCAAGAGAGGCCCGAGACGGCCAAAGATCGCCCGAAGACGCCCCAGATGGCCCCAAGACAGCCCAAGAGGCCTCCAAGACGCTCCAAGGGCCTTCCAAGAGGCCTCCGAAGAGGGCCCCAAGTTGCCAAAATCGTTGATTTTCAGTGTTTTTTTCAATGTTTTTTTGTGTTCTGGCCTTTTCGCTTCCGGACGCTCCAAGAGGGCCCAAGAGGCCTTCAAGACTGCTCCAAGACGGCCCACGAGGCTCCCAAGACGGCCCCGGAGCGGCCCAAGAGCGCCCCCCAGACGGCCCAAGTGCTGCCCAAGGCGCACCAAGAGGCCCCAAGACGGGCCCAAGAGGGGCTCAAGAAGGGAACCGAGAACTGAAAAATCGAGCCCTCCGCCCCAGAAGGCGCCCAGGACCCCGAAAAGGCCCCAAGAGACTCCAAGACACCCCCAAGACGCCCCAAAAAGCTCCCGTGAGGCCCCAAGAGGACCAACAACGTCAGGCCCCAGGCCCCAAGAGGACCAACAAATACCGCCAAGAGCCCGCCGAAAGCCCCCCAAGAGACCGTCACGAGAGCTCAGGAGGCCCCCTGGAGGCCTCCCGAGTTCTCCAAGAGGCCTAAAAAGAGGCGCCAAGAGGCCCCAAACGGCCCCACCGAGGCTCCAAGAGGCCACGTACGCGCAAACAAACGCCTGCGATGGCACAATACGGGCCGGCGGAATGAGCGAAGCGATTAAATACGCTTTTGACAGAACCGGATTTCGGCGGCGCGCTCAGGGGGGGGGGAGGCAGAGGGAGCAAGTCATCCAAGAAGGCCCAGAAAGCCTCAGGCCTTCTGAGAAGCTTGCGGAGCCTACTTCCGAAGGCACAGAGGGCAGCTCAGAAGGCTTCTGAGCTGCCCCACCGCCTTTTGAAAGGGTCTGCCCCCTCTCACTTCTCCCCTCGGCGCTCCTCGATAGCAGAATCCCGAGGCTTTGGCGTGTGGACTCTAATTTGGGAGGACTCGGGGAGGCCTGACGGGGCCGTCAGAGCAGTGACGGGACCCAGTCTGGAATTGAACGCGACCTCCCGCTGCAAATGTCCCACGGAACCTGGACAGCCAAACTCCAAGACGGCTCCGTCAAAAAGCGTCGGCAAACCAGAGATCGAATACGAAACTCCCGTTTCCCGTACGAGAGGGGCCCACGAGGAGAATCGGGGTTTCCACTCGGAGACGGGTCTGTTCGAACATGTGAGGGAAGAAGATCGAGCGCTAACGCCAACGCAAGGCTTAGGGTGGCTGCCGTCCCTCCCGTTTTCCTCTCCCTCGTTCAATTGCCGCTTCTCTTGCGTGTCACCGATCTGTCGTCACTGCAAGGTTACAACACACAAAAAACAATACCCTTGGGGTGAACCAACGCGTGCTTGACGAAAACACGGGTTGATGCCTCGACTTGGGCCTGTACGTTGTATGAGGTTGTCAGTGCGTCTTGGGTTCGAGCTCTTGACTTGCTTTGTTGCCCTGTTCTGGGCTGCCTCGTCGCCACGGCTGGACCAGCTCCGAAACCCTGGGCGGCACGCACCGCTACACCCTGCGAAATGCTTAAGAAATCATGGGTTAAGAAATTCATAGTCTCAGAACTTGAGTAAAAACCCAACAGTTCTATTACAATATTAAGATTTGCATTGGAACATCAAGAATAATCGAGACTCTGGCCGAAAACTTAAGTTTTCTTAAGCATCGCCTAAGGTGTAGGCTGGTCCAGGGTCCGAGTCTCGACCCCCGTGTCGACCCCTGGCCCGAAGGTGAAGAGGGCCCGCGGAGGCCCCCGAAGAGGTCCCCAGAGGCCCCAGGAGCATCCCGAGAGGCCCCAGGAGGACTTCCCTGAGGCCCCCTGAGTTGGGCGTGGCTTCATGGGGGGGTCACAAATAGGGGGGTCAGAAACGGTCCCCTTTCGTGCCCCTTTCGGGCCCCTCCGGAGCCCCAGGGGGCTCGTTTAGGCACCGTTTGGGTACCTTTTCGGACCACCCTCGCCACCCCCCCATTTATGACCCCCCTATGACGCAACGCCCAACTGAGGGCTCCCAGAAGGCCTTCCGGGGAGCCTCTGGGAGGCCGCAGGGGGTCCTCCCAGGGGCTTCCTCCTCCTTCTCCCCCGTCCAGTCGCGACGAAGACAAGGGGCCCCAGAGGAAGGAGGTCCCGACCTTTTCGTTGCCCTTCTCGGGCCCTCGCGGCCCTCCACGGGGACCGTCAACAGCGACTCCCGAGGAAGAGCTGGTCCTAGGGAAAGCCCATGGGTCTGGGTTCCTTTATGGGCCTCTTTCCTTCGTGGCAGCGCGCCTTCTTCAGTCTCCCCCTTCCCCTCTTCGCCTCCGCACGTTCCCCCCCGCTCGGGCCTGGCCTCAGGCGCCCGCACCGAAGGGAAGGACAATGGCGTGCACATAGGCTGTCGGAGCTGAAGCACCGCCTGGGAGACCCAACGCCGAACGTAGATGTCCGCGCAGAGCTCCGGAAGTTCAAGTGGGTTCACAGGTCTTGAAGTCGTACCATATCCCCCAAAAATATTATAAGCCTTCGAGAACTAAGGAGACTGTGGGGAAGATAATAACTTGCATTCAGTTCGCATGTCGACTTGCAGGTCGATTGCAACTTGACGTTCACATGGACGTGCACTTCGATTGCAATTGGAACTGCACTTCAATGTGCACACGACGTTCATGCATATCAACATTCTGGATTTCGATATGCAGTTCGAGTTGCATTCCGATTTGCACTTCGACTGTATCTTCTGTGTGCTTTCGGCAACAGCTTCCCCGAACAGTGCCCGAACTCGGACACGACCACGCAGCGTCAAGATCCCCCCCAACAAAAACCGTTGCACTGCGACATCTGTGGTGCGGTTGATGAGCAACATCGGGTGGGCCTCCCGCGCTCTCGGCCGGAGCCTGCCCGGTGGCCACCCGCTGACGATGGGCCTCCCGCGCGATAATTAGGGAGGTGGCCCGAGGTCTCGCCGGGTGTGAAGGGGGCCCGGGGACACGCAAATAAAGATACACACAAATAACCAGATGCCCCATCTTTTCCCCTATTTTCGGGGATTTTGTTTCCCCCCCCCCCCCACTTCCCACATTTTCCAACACTCTCTGGGGAATCGACGACTCGTTGTGTCTGTGTGTGCTGATCCCCTCCTGATGGTGCCCGCCCGCGTGCGCCGGGTGCCCGCCCGTGCGCCGGGTGCCCGCCCGTGGCTGCTCGTGCGCGCCCCGAAACCGCGCGCGGCGGGGGCTCTGGCGGCAGCGGGCGACGGCCACCCGGCGGACCCGGCCGCCCCCGCCTGCGGCGTGAGCGGTGGCAGATCACTGTGCGGCCTGGCGCGCCGCCCCTGTGTGGACGCCCGAAATAGGGGGAAAACAAACCTACCTCGCTTTTGACCACCCTCGCTTCCAAGAGATACCAAACGATGCCAAATTGCAGCCTGTACTGGTCAGGCCGCTTGACGAGGAGGCGCGTGGTATGGCTTGGTTTTGCCTGGAAGCGAAAGCGGGGTAGGTAATTCACGCTCTGACGAAAGGGGCACGGACAAGATGGGTACGATGCCGAACAGCCAGTGTTGTCCCGAACCAGCAGCGGCCGCTGTTGGGCGGGCGGCCTGCCGTCTCGAATGGACCCAGGCCGCGGCGGCGCGGACAGCGAGTCTTGTTCAAAATGAACAGGAACTGCTGTTGGGCATTGTGCCCATTCTTTCTGTACCCATTTCGTTCGCGCAGACCTTGGAGGCGCGGTTGCCGGCCGGGGCCGCCAGACTAATTATGTGCGCCTTGCTCGCCTCCCCTCCCTCTCCCTCCTCCCCTCAGCCACAGGGCGCCTGTTCGCACGGTAAAAAGTGTCGATGTGTCGATGTGTGTGTGTGTGTGTGTGTCGGTTTCCCGCCACCGCCGGGCGTTCCTCCTCCTTCCCCCGTGCATTGCGGCTCAATTCGCGTCCGTATGCCCTACCGAATGCTTTTCCGCCAGCGCAGTCACTCTGCCTAGCCGTCGGCGCAAAAAATGTGTGTGACTGTGTGTGTGTGTGTGTCGATCCCATCTGGGCGAATCCAGTATCTCGACGCCGCGAGATCTGGGCCAGCCGCGCGCATCTCTTCGCCCGACGTTCTCCGCCGCCCCGCTGCGCGCGTGGCCGCGGTGCCAGAAGTGCGTGGGTGACCGGCACTGGCTGTGGCTACATCGTCAAAACCTCCAGAAGGCTCCTTCCCGGGGCGCTCCTCTGCTGGCGGTCCCTCCGCGCACCCGCGCTCCGGTGCCAAGACGGCCACCAGACCACCCCAAAGGCGACCCAGAAGGGCCCCCAGATGGCACAGTGACTCTCCGAGACGGCCCACGAGGGTCTCAAGACGGCCTGAGAGCCCCACGAGACGCTCCAAGGGAGCTCCAGCCTGATCCCCAAGAGGGCCCTGGGAGCACAACATCATCAGTGTCTACACCCTGCGAAATGCTTTAGAAATCATGGGTTAAGAAATTCATAGTCTCAGAATTGAATACAAACCCAACATTTCTATTACAATCTTAAGATTTACATTGAAACGTTAAGAATAATCGAGACTCTGGCCGAAAATTTCAGTTTTCTTAAGCATCGCCTAAGGTGTATGCGTTGCAAGGTCCGAGAGGCTCCCGAGAGGGCCCACGGCCCAAGAGGACTTCGAGACGCCGAGGAGGCCCAGCAGGATGGTCCGAGGGACCCCCAGGGAGGGCCCGAGGGGGAAGCCAAGACGAGGGAGGTGAAAGTGAAGGGGCCCCAGGACACACAAATAAATACACACAAATAAAACGATCCCCCATATTTTCCCATATTTTCTGGGTTTTTGTCTTCGCCCCCACTTCCCATATTTTCCCATACTTTCTGGGGAATCGACGATTAATTGTGTCTGTGTGTTGTTTCCCCTCTTGAGAAAGGGCCTTCGGAGCCTTCCCCATGGCATGGTCCATGAGATCCTCACGCAACTTGCGCCGGAGGGGTCCCCAGAGGCCCTGAAGACTTTCTCGAGAAGCCCCAAGAGGCTCCCAGGGGGCCCCAGACACACGATGCCAAAGAGGCCTCCAAAGAGACCCAAGAAGCCTCCCGAAGAGGCTTCTTGTCCGCGACCCAGGCACGGTGGCGAGTTTGGCCCGAGACCACTCGATCCTTTAAAGAAGCCTCCAGGTAGCCCCCCCCAGCAAAGAAAGCTAGCATGAGCGCCACGTCACGACTCTCGATGCTGCGCGCCACTTTGCCGAACTCCCGAGGAAGGGCCACAGATAAGCTGCCGGCGTCCTTGACAATGAGCTCCTAATTTGGGTAGAACTAGGCTCCTTGTTTGGAGCGAGGACAAGGGGGGAGGGGGCGAATCGCCCATGATCTGACTGATGAGTTCAGGATGAGGAGGAGCCGCCTCCTCATTTGCCTCATCCTAAACTGGTGTCCTTGCTGTTTCTCATCACTATGCTGCTCTTCCTCATCCTGCCTATCCCTTTCCTTCACCATCCTTCTCATCCTCCTTCTTCACCTCTTACCCTGAATCGTCCTCCTCCTCCTCCTCCTCCTCCTCCTCCTCGATTGCTCCTCCTCGATAGCTCCTCCTCGAGGAGGAGGAGAAGGAGGAGGAGGAGGAGGAGGAGGCGGAGGAGGAGGAGGAAAAGGAGGAGGAGACGAGGAGGAGGAGGAGGAGGAGGACGAGAAGGACGAGGAGGAGGAGGAGGAGGAGGAGGAGGAGGAGGAGGAGGGGAGGATCCCATCCCCCCAAGGCCCCCCCCGGGAGTCCTCCGGAGGAGTCCCCGCGTCTTCCGCCGGCTCTCCTGGCCGCCGCGCCTGCTCCCGCTCGGCAGCGTCGGCCGCCTCGCCGGGCTCGGCCCCCGGCGGCGGCGTGCCGCCCTTGGGTGCCTCCGCCAGGACTCCGGCCGGTGGTTCCAAGATGGGGTCCTGTAGGGGAACGGAGGAGGAGGAGGAGGAGGAGGAGGAGGAGGAGGAGGAGGAGAAGGAGGAGGAGGAGGAGGAGGACAGAAACATGGGAAACTCAGAGGTCCGCGCGGATTTCTCGGATCGGCGCTGGACCCCCCTCCCTGGCGCGCGGAGCGCGCCAGGGGCGGCGCCGGAGGCGCCGCCAGGTGATGGGGTGGGATGGGGTCCCAAGGACGAGGTGCCTCAAACAATGTGAACATCGACCCTGAGATCCCTTCCTACCCTCAGGGCCCCACCCCTCAGGACCCCATCTTTGAGCCACCGGTCTGGCGATGATGGCCTCGATCTGCTCGTGGACTTTCTCTGGCTCGGCAGCGCGCCCAGGGCAGGCGGGCCTCCTCCTCCGAGAGCCCACAGGGATCCGGGAGGCGTGAGGACTTGGGTGAAGGGGGACGACGATAGGGGCGAATAGCCCAGGGGCGGTCAATACACGTACTCGCCCGGGAGCCTTTTCGAAGATATAGATCATCGGCGCACCTGAATACATGTATTGCTCTCCCCTGGGCTATTCGTCCCTATCGTCGCCTCTGAGTTAGGGGGGACTCGGGTGGGCCCGGCGGGGCCAGCATGAACATGGCGCGACCCAGTCTGAAAATGGACGCGGGCTCCCGCTGCAGCCATCCCACGAAAACTGAATCGTCGAGACTCAGGACGGGCTCGTCAGCAAGCGCCTATAGGCGAACCCGAGGTCCGGCGTACTCGAGTCTCACGTGGCCCCGGCGGAAAGCCTCTGACCTTTCGAGAAACCTCCTCGTCCATTCCCGGAGGCGCCGCGGGCTTCGCAAAGGCGGGGGGCTTCTGGGAAGCCCCGCCAGCTTCTGAGAGGAGGAGGAGGAGGCGGAGGCGGAGGTCTGCCCACTCTCACTCACCCCTCGGCACGCCGCCGACTGGCACACGGAACGTCGTCAGGTGGCGCATGGCCGTCAGATCGTGGGGCTCGCAGCGCAGACGTCCGTTGAGGACGGCGTGTGCCTTGAGGACCTTGACCGCTTTGACGAGGAACGTCCTGTCGGTCAGCAGCGAGTTGCCCTCCCCGAGGGCGTGCTCTTCGTGCAGGACTCGCAGTAGCTCGACCAGCACGGCCTTCGTGTCGCTCCCAAACGCGACTTGCGGAACGAGCTCCCCGCACTGTTTGATGACGTCTCGACCCTGAGTTCCGGACAGATCTGCGTCGCCTCCAGGCGGAGGGCCAGAATACATGTCAATGGCATCCGACACGCCTGCCCAACGCCCCTCGTTGATCAAACCCTTTGCTCTCACCTGCAGGGTGAACCGATCGAGCGTTGCAGGGTCGAGCGGCTCGGCGAAATACGCGTCGTCCTGGGCCGGATTTCCAGTCGCGACGGCTGTCAGCAGAGGAATCTCGGCAGCCAGGCTCCCTCCGTACTTGCGCTCGTTCAGTATGCGCAGCAGAACGTTCAGCGCCTCGCCAGGGGCACGGGAGATGTCGTCGAGGACCGCGAGCTCACAGGTCAATATCCCGCCTGGAATGACATCCTGGCGGATGATATCCCCAGTGGGCGTCGCCTCCTTCGTGATGACCGCCTCTCCAATGATCTCGTTCAGGCGCGAATCGCGATGCAACTGGTAAAACCAACGTGAGAGCCCAGTGGACTCCGAGAGAAGCTCCGCGATGTACGTCTTGGCCACTCCAGGTGGGCCTTCTATGTAAACATGCTCCCTGGCGAGGAGCGCCAGGAGGACACCCTCCTTGACGGACTCCTGGCCCACGACGTGACGATCGAGAAAGCTGCGATACGACAAAAGGTCGCGATGGACGCTCAGGGTCAACGGTATGAGAGGGGACCGACTCAGGGGGGCAACTGTCGACATGGAATCGGCGACACACCGCCGATGCGTCGGGCCAGCAAAGCACGCAGAGCCACCGAGAGCAGGATCCTTTGAGGGTCGACGCGGGGGGGCCAGGGCCCTGAAAGCACTCAGATGTCGTAGCACATGGATACTTTACGACCTTGAGTGTGTATTATTGAAGAGGCCCACAAACACACAAATAAATACACACAAATAAAACTATTCCCCATATTTTCCCATATTTTCTGAGTTTCTGTCTTCCCCACCACTTCCCATATTTTCCCATATTTTCCTGGGGGTCGACGATTAATTGTGTCTGTGTGTTTCTTCCCCTCCTGAATTATTGGCTCCACTGATACAATCCTTCCCATGAGCCGAGACGTCGGGGAGAAGACCCCGATGGCGAGCCCGCACGCTCCCGGGTAGGGGAGGTGCTGCCGGGCCCCTGCCAGAGACGAGTGGGCGATTGGGGGTCGATAACCCCCCCTGGCTTTCGGGCCATACGGTGGGCTTGTGTTCCACCGCCACCGCCACAAGCAGGAGGGGGAGGGGGTCCTCCTCCTCCTCCTCCTCCTCCTCCTCCTCCTCCTCCTCCTCCATTCCTTCTCCGTATAAATTCGCCGGCCCAACGGGCCAGAGGCGTGCTAAGGTCTCCGGTAACTGGTTTACAGTATCTCTAGTTCGCGCGCGCGGGGCGGCCCCTGGGGGTCCCCGGACGAAAAAAAACCCGGGCGATCCCCGACCGACCCCCGAGCGATCCCCGGGAGACTCCCCCAGAGCGCTCCAGGAGCGCTCCAGGAGCGCACCAACAGGGCTCCGAGACGTCCCCGAAACCCTCAAGACGGGTCCAGATGCCCCCAAGAGGCTCCCAAGATGGTACACAAGGGTTCCGAGATGCCACATGATCGCTCCAAGACGCCCAAGATGGCCCCCAGACGCCCCAAGAGGCCTCCAAGAGCACTCCCCAAAGGGCCCCAAGAAGCAAAATTCATAGCTTTTCCTTAGGTTTTTGAGAGATTTTGGAGCTTCCACCTTTTCGGCTTCCCGACGCCCCAAGACGGCCCAAGAGGCCCCCAAGATCGCCCCAAGAGGGCCCAAGAGGCCCCCAAGAGGGCCCCAAGATGGCCCAAGAGGGCTCGAAGACGGCCCAAGAAGCCTCCAAGACGGTCCAAGAGGGCCCCAAGAACGCCCCCAAGGGGGCCCCAGAGAGGGAACACGAAACAACATTTCGAGCCCTCGGCCCTAAGAAGCCCCCACGAGGCCCCAAGAGGCCCCTAAGAGGCCCCAAGAGGCCCCCACGAGGCCCTCAGGAGGCCCCCAAGAGTCCCCCAAGCGGCCCCAGGAGGCCCCCCAAATGCCCCCCCGAGCGCCCCAGGAGTCCCCCAAGCGGCCCCAGGAACCCCCAAAGCGCCGCATTGACACCAGGCCCTCGGGCAAACGGCAGACATGAGACTGTATGGGCCGGCGGAATGAGCGAAGCGATTAAATAACTGTTCCTTCTCACACCCCGAAACAAGTTTTTAGGGCGGTCCGGGCGTTTCGCCTGAGACTTCCTCACCATTTATCACACCGAACTTGAAACATGACAACAGCTTCACAGATGGAGGGCGGGTCGTTTCCAAAATGCGGCTCTCGCCGTAGCGCCGCGCACGTCTGTTTCCAAAATTTGCAAGGGCTTCACGGAATGAGGGCGGCTCGTCTTCAAAATGTGGCCCTCGCCGTAGCGCCGCGCACATTCGTATCAAACATTTGCAAGAGTTTCACTGACTGAGGGCGGGTGGTTTTGAGACTGTGACCCTCGCCTCAGCGCCGCGCACACTCGTTCCCAAAAGCTGCAAGGGCTTCACAGATTGAGGGCGGGCCGTCTCTCGCCATAGCGCCGCGCACATCAGTTTTAACAAGTTGCACGAGCTTCACGGATCGAGGGCGGTTCCTTTTCAAAATGCGGCTCTCGCCTCAGCGCCGCGCACGTTCTTGTTAAAACATTTGCAAGAGCTTCACGGATTGAGGGCGGGCCGTCTTCAAAATGTGACTTTCGCCTTGGCGCCGCGGACATCGGTTGTAAACAATTACAAGAGCTTCACGGATTGAAGGCGGGTCGTTCTCAAAATGTGACTCTCGCTTTGCCGCCGCGCACATTCTTCTTATAAAACTTGCAAGAGCACTACGGGCACGCAATGGTGTTTTGGGAGGATTCACGATTATGGGGCGCAACAATTGCGATGATTCGCGGTGTTGAAGTCCCAGGATCGGCGTTTTGGCACGATGCAGGATCGTCAAGACGTACCAGATAGGCTTGACTATCCGTGGCGTTGGAATACCGAGAACAATGTTTTGGTATGCTTCAGGGTCTTCAAACGAGGCAGGTTCCTGTGTTGAAATGAGCCGTTGTAGGGGCCTATGAAGAGAGAGCTTGGGAGGGCGTATTCCAACATCGCTGGTGACTCTTGGGTTTACACTGGTCCTCCTCCTCCTACTCCTCCTCCTCCTCCTCCTCCTCCTCCTTCCCTTCCCCAACTTATGGTGGTGGTGGTGGTGGAAAACAGGCCCATCGCCATAACTCGGCTCTCCGGTGGCCGACCGGGCCAATCCGGACATCCCCGGAACGCCCTCGGCGAGGCGCGCTGGAGCGCATCCCGTGGCCGGGAAGCCGCCGAGGACCGACCAACACGCCCGAAAGGCCTCGAACCCCGAACCCGAAACGCCCCCCCTGAGCCACTCCCCTCCTAACGTTGCCCATGCGATGTCCCCTATGGCCCGAGAAGCGCACGCCCTGGAGAGCGACCGGCGCGGGAAAGGCGCGCCCCGGCGCGCAGAGCCGCCCCTCGGCCACGGGAGCAGGGGCCGCCGGTGCGCCATCGAGCAGAGCCGGCCATGCCGAGCCGCGCCCTCGAGCCGAGGCGGCCGGTCACGGCGCAGCCGATCCAGGGGCCTCCCAAATCGGGTCGGAGGATCTCACCGAATCGCCGATGTATCGGCGATGCATCGGTGATGCATCGACGGCGTTGGCGAGGCATCGGCGGCGTTGGCGATGCATCGGCGACGTCGGCGTGGGGAACAGAAAGACATCGGCAGTGCGGCGCGATCCGCCGACCCCATCTGCCCTGAGACCACTTAGGTAGCCGCAGAGTACGGGACAAGAATTGCGTGGCACTCGTTTCTAGCAGCCCGTGTGGAGCATCAGGACACATGAGGAGTCCTGGAAATCTTGGAACGCATCATGGTCATGACCTCTTGCTCATCTGAGCTTATTAAGATGAAGCCAAGATCAGGATAACATCGGATCGGGACAACTCCGGTGACCTCTAAGGCCCTGCGGCTCTGGAGGACACAGCGGGCGCCGCTGCCGTTCCAGAGCGCTGCCGGGACCCCCCGGGAGCGTTCAGGGACGCTCTGGCACCAAGAGCGTATACCATTTCTGCGGCCCCTGGGGGTCCCCGGACGAAAAGTACCCCGGGCGATCCCCGACCGACCCCCGAGCGATCCCCGGGAGACTCCCCCAGAGCGCTCCAGGAGCGCTCCAGGAGCGCACCAACAGGGCTCCGAGACGTCCCCGAAACCCTCAAGACGGGTCCAGATGCCCCCAAGAGGCTCCCAAGATGGTACACAAGGGTTCCGAGATGCCACATGATCGCTCCAAGACGCCCAAGATGGCCCCCAGACGCCCCAAGAGGCCTCCAAGAGCACTCCCAAAAGGGCCCCAAGAAGCAAAATTCATAGCTTTTCCTTAGGTTTTTGAGAGATTTTGGAGCTTCCACCTTTTCGGCTTCCCGACGCCCCAAGACGGCCCAAGAGGCCCCCAAGATCGCCCCAAGAGGGCCCAAGAGGCCCCCAAGAGGGCCCCAAGATGGCCCAAGAGGGCTCGAAGACGGCCCAAGAAGCCTCCAAGACGGTCCAAGAGGGCCCCAAGAACGCCCCCAAGGGGGCCCCAGAGAGGGAACACGAAACAACATTTCGAGCCCTCGGCCCTAAGAAGCCCCCACGAGGCCCCAAGAGGCCCCTAAGAGGCCCCAAGAGGCCCCCACGAGGCCCTCAGGAGGCCCCCAAGAGTCCCCCAAGCGGCCCCAGGAGGCCCCCCAAATGCCCCCCCGAGCGCCCCAGGAGTGCCCCAAGCGGCCCCAGGAACCCCCAAAGCGCCGCATTGACACCAGGCCCTCGGGCAAACGGCAGACATGAGACTGTATGGGCCGGCGGAATGAGCGAAGCGATTAAATAACTTTTCCTTCTCACACCCCGAAACAAGTTTTTAGGGCGGTCCGGGCGTTTCGCCTGAGACTTCCTCACCATTTATCACACCGAACTTGAAACATGTTAACAGCTTCACAGATGGAGGGCGGGTCGTTTCCAAAATGTGGCTCTCGCCGTAGCGCCGCGCACGTCTGCTTCCA